GAACTCGAGAGAGTAAATATTATATTATGTTTTAATATTAATTTGAATATTTGAAATTAGGAGATACTTATCTTAATAGAACCATTAGAAAAGGCTACAAAATTATTATCCGCATCTTCATATCCAACAATTGCGGATGTTCGATTGGTATTTGGCAGTATTCAAGAATATCTTAATAATTATGTAGAAAGTGATGAATCTAGTCAATATATATTAGCTGCCTCAATTAATGAAAAAATTGGCGAATATAAGGATATAATTGATAATGCAACAATTGTTGCAACTATTCTTGACCCGCAAACGAAGCTTTCACTATTTGAAGTTGGACAGCAAACCTCTAATGCAATTGATAAAGTTAGAGAAATATTTGGTCAATATTTTACATTTAACGAATCAACTCAACCACCACCTCATATTACAGATGATGTTGATACAGCTCGCCAATACTTCCATGCGCTTAAACGACGCTACACAGGACAAATTTCTGAAACAAAGCAAAAGCCCACTGATGAGCTAGAACGATATTTGGCTTTACCTTGTGCTGAAGATATTAAACCTTCATTATGGTGGCAAGTATATGCAAAAGAGTTTCCAACATTAGCGTGTATAGCAAGGGATTATTTGTCAATCCAGGCAACCAGCGTAGCCTGTGAGCAGGCTTTTTCGATAGCAGGAAATACTATATCAAAGACTCGAAATCGTCTTGATCCAGAAACATCAAGGGCGTCTCTTTGTTCTAAAAGCTGGATTGAAAATGAGATTCTACCAACGGTTAGTAATAGTAAAAATAAACCTATTTTCTTGTTTCTAATTATACTTCGTGATTAAATAGGTTAAATCCGATTAGAAAAGAAGTGAAAAAGCATGAATAGCATTAAAGATCTAAAATTAATACAGATCGAGCATTAATTTTTTTTTTATTTATAAAATTAGTTTTTTTTTTTTTTTCTTTTTTTTTTTATGAAATTAAATAGTTTCATTTATCTTAGTTTAAATTTCAATTATTATTTGTTATCTTTTTTTCGGGAATTTGGTTTCTTTATTATTCTATAAAATGGTTATTGTATTGTGAAAGTTTCAAAAATTAAAGGCGTTATAAAGACGTTATAAAGTTCAATATACCGTGAAATTTTTAGTTAGATTGTATATCGTCACATGATTGGGTGGCTTTGGATCTCTAGCGACAATTTTACTATGACCAGAGATTTTCTTAAAAACAGCTAATACGTAGCAGAAAATATGTATATTAAATTACAGAAATATTTTTAGTTCTGAACCAGGCCCAGAACTGAACCTAGTCTGACTTAGATCCTGGAACTAGTTCTTGGACCAAGTTCTAAACCGAACCTAGCCTGATCTAGGTCCTGGGACTGGTTTTTGAACTGGTTTTTGGACCAAGTTCTGGACTAACCCTAGACTAACCTAGGTTCTAGGACTTATCATGTGAGGACTTAGTTCAAGAGTCCTTGTAACAAGACCTAAAGGTCTTAGGACCAAAACCGGACCTGGACTGACTTTACCATCCCTATGTACCAAGGGAAGGAAGACTGTAAAGCATCTAAAGCCTGGACAGACTGACCCTTCCGGATTGCTGGCTGGAAGTAAGAGAAAGACTGGTAAAGAATCCAAGGAAGAAAGAAAGTTCGAATGTGGGTACTGGGGTTGTGCGAATCTTACAAGGGCGAGAAGTACGTAATAGAAGACTAATTAGAAAGGTTGTGGCTTGAGATACGGATCAGGTTACGGCAGTATCCTAAAGGATAG